GTGGTGGGGATTAGTTTGCTTGTGGCAATGTTTAGGTTGCAAAAAAGGAGTTTAAAAGTCCCAAAAGGCTAAAAATATTGATGGGGTTCAGTCAAAAGTCCTGAAGGCAACTCGGAAATTAAGATGTTCCATCTTAGCCGGGTGCCCTGGCTCATGCCTATAATCTGAGGTGGATCACTTGGGCCCAGGAGTTCAAGACCAGCCTGGGCAAAATGGTGAAACCCTGTCTCCACAAAAAAATATATATATACAAAAATTACCTGGGCATGGTGACGCATGCCTGTAATCCCAGCTACTTGGGAGGCTGAGGTGGGAGGATACCTTGAGCCTGATTGGGGGGAGTTTGCAGACAGCTGAGATGGTGCCACTGCACTCTGGCCTGAACAACAGAGCCAGACACTGTCTAAAAATAAACTAAAACTAAATTTAAAAAGGACATCCTATGACCCTGTTAACAGCCTTCTTGGTAGGGTCTGGAAGTCTTGCCTCAGTGATGCGCATGTGGAACTGGAAGAGGGCAGGGGTGCTCTCTCCCACCTGGTGGCTGTGCCCTGACCTGGTGGCTCTGTTTTTTGAGCTACTTCCCCACAGGGACAACTTGGCAGCAAGCAGGTCCTGCCACAGGCAGAAAAACCGGAATGTGGGAAAGTATATTCCTTTCCCCTAAAGAGCTGGTGAGAGTCAGGCTCCTCATACCCCATCACTGCAGGATATACCCACACCTGCAAACACGGCCTTGGGGCTTGGCACTGGGACCAACGGGTTTCTCTTACCTTCCGGAAGATCCAACTCTCTCAGTTCTAGCAGAAAGAGGGATACAAATGTGTAGGACCAGAAAGTCACCCCTCAATGCAGCCAATGTCCCTCATTTCACAGGGAAAGCAAATTCCCAGGCTGAGTTGCCAGAGGCCAAGCTGAGGTGGTGGCCTTTGGCGAAGGCTGGAGGGCCAATGGCTGCCAGTTCTGGCCTCTCAGGAGCACGGCATGGCTCTCTGACCCTTTACAAAGGCACTGGGACCTCCTGCTCCCGGCCACTGGCCTCCCACAGCCTTCAAGAGTCACAGTCCAGGCAGCTACTGGACTGAAGCCAGTCAGGCAGGCCCATGGCGGAGACGCTCAGAACATGGCGCAGACTTCCTCACCACTGTGAGGAAGGCTAGCGAGGCCCTGAACTGTGACACGAGCGTGGAGACTCTTCAAACACACCGTCTCCCATACTACAATCATCCTAAGAAGAGGTCATTTTTCCTTTTAAAAATTATTTGAGACAGGGTCTCACTATGTTGCCCAGGCTGGTCTTGAACTCCTGGCCTCAAGCCATCCTCCTGCCTCAGCTTCCCAAAGTGCTAGGATTAGAGGTGTGCTCACCACTCCCAGCTAATTAATTTTTTTGTAGAGATGAGGTCTCACTTTGTTGCCTAGGCTGGTCTCAAAACTCCTGGGCTCAAGCAGTCCACCTGCTTCAGCTTCCCTAAGTGCTGGGATTACAGGTGTGAGCCATCTTGCCCAGCCAATTTTTCTATTTTAAAGAGAATTACAAATGAAGCTCAGCGATGTAAAGTAGTTAATCCAGCTCTTAAGTACCAAAAAGACATTCCAGTTCAGCCAGTCTCTTCATCAAACTTCCCAAATGCTAAAGGCAGCAAAAACTCCTGCTCTGGATCTAGGAACAAGGCCTGTGATCCTAGTTTGTGGAATAGCTGAAGAATTTTCCAGAAGTCTCTAACTCCTCAGAGAAAAGAACACTTTTCCTCCTTATGCAAGCCTGCTGTTAGGCCTTGGAGAGCCGAACGGGTGTGGCTGTGCGGGCGCTGGATCACGCGCTAAACCTCACCCACCCACCAAGCGACAGACGGAAAGAGACAGACGGCAAGGCCAGTGGGTATGAGGACTCCACGCCAGGTCTCTGAACCTGTCTCCCGGAATGCCGTAAGCCAGGCTGTGACAGTCAAAATGGCTGCTTTCTGCTGAGAAAGGATGAACTATGACTTCCCCGGGGAAAGCAAACAAACCTTGGCAGTAGGGGAGGCCGCTCAGTGTGAACTTGGTTTGCACAATGTGTTCGGTTACATAATGGAGGATTGGATTGCGCAGTTCTCTCCTTGGTGAGAGGGAGCTCTTCCTGGAGTGCCCACCAGCTCCTCCCTCCTCAGGAGAGGGGTGTGGCTGGATCCTTGGCAACGCTATGATCCCCTAACAGGGAACTGCTGGGGTGCTTTCTCCCTCCTGCAACCCCCCAGCTTACCCCACAGCCCCTTGGAGACTCTGCTCCTAAGCCACCAGGTCTGCGTCAAGAACCTAGGGGGCCAGCTGGGCTAGGCAGTGACCCTCCTCCTCCTCAGGGCCCTCGACCTGTCTAAGGTTTGGCCTCCCCTACCCTGTGGCCAGGGCCTTCACTCCACTGAGTGTCTTCACGGGACCCAGTAGAGGCCACAGGGCCCACTGAGGCCCCATCCAAACTCGCTGCTTCCCTCCTAGATTCTTTTCCTGAAATCCCTTTGGACTTAGCCACAGAATCATCACGTAGGAGAGCCGCAAGGAGCCTGCAGATGGCTGAGCCGAACCTCACTTTATAGATGAGGTCCAGAGACGGGACACGCTATGGCAGAGCTGGGACATGACCCAAGTCTCTTTTCCAGCCCAATCCTCTTGCCACATCACCGTCTTAGGTCTCAAAGGAATGAGTTGCTATTGATGGGATTTATGACCTAGCAGAGGTGGGTTTTGAGTATGAGATCCTAGAGGCCCTTCACATCGCTACCTGTCTACTCCATCTGTGCCCACTCCCACCCCGAGTGGGTGGGCTTCGAGCTACTTTTTCAGCAGGGGTGACCAGCTCATGCTTGGCCTTCCCTTATCTGGTACGCCCAGCTGTGTTCCATACTTTTGAATCTCTTAGTTTAAGAACTGAGAAATGAGTCTTGGTAGCCCCCTGCCTTCCCATGTCTGGGCCTGGGCCAAGACACCAGAATGGGAGTCAAGGTGTCAGGTGACCAATTACCAAGCCTGGGTATGCTGGCTCTCAGGGCAAGAGGAGGGGCACTGTGCATGGATGACCCTGGGCTCCCTGAAAGAGCCAGTTATGCTTGACATCAGGCAGGAACCAGGGTACCCCAGGAGAAGCCTGAACAGAGAGCCACTCTGGCTCCTGCAGTGGCCAAGATGCCCTTTCTGCAAAGGTCCCTCTGCCTGCAGAACCCGCACTCAGGGCTTCCTGAAGAAATTCCACCCGCGTAAGTCTGCGCCAGCTAGTGTTTCAGGCACAGCTGAGAGGCAGGCAGGATCCTGCAGAGAGCTTGTGGCATGTCGAAGATGGTGCTGAGGCTCACCCCGGCTGCCTTGTTGAGTAGTTATTTTCTGTGGCAGGTATTCCTTTCCTGGAATTGGGAAGATGGCGGCAGAAAGCTCGGGAGTCCCCTGGCTTACAGACTGAGCTAGTTCAGTTTATCCAGTAGGTCACATACCAGCTTGACCCACACTGCAAACACATCAGGCCGTGCAGGCCGGGCACACTCCTGCCCCCATGCCTTTGCACTCCGGGCAGCAGCTTGGCTGCTCCCTAACTCTCCGGGTCTGTATCAATTCACCCTTCCGTGCGGCCTTCCCTTTCCACCTGGCACTCCTCTTCCCTCTTTCAAGTTGTATTCATCTCCATGGCACACTTGATCTTCTAACATACTTTGTTTTACAAATGTACTTTATTAGCCACTCTGCCCCAGAACTGCAAGTCACGAGGGCATGCTTCCCCGCCCCAGTTCCACAGCGAGCCGGCCCTAAGCACCGCCCACAGGGCCCTCCAGGTGTGGACTCTTGGGAAAGAAAACTGCTTGCAGAACACTCCCAGAGTTTTTGCCACGAAGTCAGACCAAGTGGGGCCAGTGAAAGGCCCCTTAATATCTCCCAAACCCTGCTCCCTGAAAGAGGCAACCATTACACCAGAAAACAATGTTGCTTTCTGGAGAAGTGTGGCTTTCTGAAAATGTTTATTTTAAATTACGCTTGATTCAGAGGAGGCTGCACAATGGTACCGAATCAGGCACCAGCCCCAAGGTCCTCAACAATTTTCCACCAACAGCTCATCAATCGCAGCAAAGAGCTGTCCTGGAATCCGGCCTGCCAAGTGGACGGGTCCCCCCCACCTCCCACCTCCAGCCACAAGCTGAGCCCTCACAGAGTTGCCAGGGCAGCGAGTATTGCCTGCGGGGAAGGATCCAGGCTTTGTGGAAACTGAAGTTTAAACAATGGGAGGTGGGGCATGGAGGGTTATTCAATTTTAAGAAAAAAAGATCGAAATTAGAATTACAACATTGCTAGGTACCCTTCTCGGAAGCCGGCCAGGGCCAGGAAGGAGCTAGAAGCTCAGGGAAAACCGATCCCTGCCCAGGAGGGAGGCAGGCGAAGACTCGGTCTCCGCGGCGCTCCTGCTCAGGTTGACCACAGTCCCTGGCTTGGACCACAGGGTGAACTCCAGGGCAAGCTTCCTGTTCTGCCAGCGGAGAGGGCTGGCCTCCTCTCCCGGGACCAGAGCGGGAGGTGCGGGGCGGCGCGCTGGGGCGGCAGGCGGAGATGAAAGCGCTTTTCAACTAACAGGTGTGATCAGTGTTCGGACTTGGCTGACAAATAAGTGCAATTCACCGCGGAGAGCCCCGCGGCCCTGGGAGCTGAGCTCGCCCAGGCCAGGGAACGCGGTGCGCTCCCGGGGTCGCGAGCCTCAGGCCCTGCAGCGTCCGCCCGCCGTCGGGACGCAGAATTCCCTGCAAGAGTGGCCCGCGGCCGCCTGCGGGGCTCCTTCCTCTGGGCTGCGCGCCAGCAGGACGGACGGGCGGCGGCGCGCGCGGTCTCTCCGCAGGGGCCGGCCCGCCTGCAAATCCCTCTGCACCCCCGCGGGCCCGAACCCTCGGCGCCCCGGCCCGCCGCCCGCCCCTGCCGCCCCGCCCGCTCGGAGCCCGAACCGCATCTGCGTCCGGAGAGTGCGGGCACGGCCGGCCCCGGGCGCTTACGGTCAAGGTGCGCAGGCTCCGGCTGCGGCAGGCGCGCGGTCCCTCCGGCTACCCAGCTCCCTTTGACTCCTCTCCCGCCGCCCTGGCGCAGTCTCCGCCCAAGCCCGGCCTCCGAATGGGGCGTTCCCCGGCCTGGACGACCTGGCTTCGGTTCCCGGGAAAATCTCTTCGCCTCAAGGCTCCACCTCCGCCAGAGATAAAACGGGCTACTCAAAGGGCGGTCCGCGGCCCTGCGGCCAGAAATGAAAAGAAGTATTTAGCAACTCTTAAGGCAATTTGATTCTGAAACTTTGTCAGTTGAATCTAAAAACAAAAATCCAAACTTGGATGGTGTTTTGTTTTTGTTTTTGAGGCAGGGTCTCACTCTGTCACCCAGGCTGGAATGCAGTGGTGCGAACTTGACTCACTGCAGCCTAGACATCCTGGGCTCAAATGATCCTCCCGCATCAGCCTCCAGAATAGCTGGGACTACAGGCCATGTCACCATACACAGCTAATTTTTTAATTTTTGTAGATATGGGGGTCTCACTTTGTTTCCCAGGCTGATCTTGAACTTCTGGGCTCAAGCGATCCACCTGCCTCCGCCTCCCAATGTGTTAAGATTATGGACGTGAGCCACTGCACCTGGCACTGTATGTCTTTTTAATTTTAATCTTTCTAGAAATTCATTCTTAGTGTATTTTACAAACGTATTGGTCCGTGATAGATTGCGAAATTTAAAAACAAATTTGTGTCTTTACAATGTGAGAAGCAATAGTGTGAAGCACTCTTGGAGGTCTTCATGGTGAGGACCAACATAGGACGCTGAATTCAGTGCCGGAGAGCAACTGCTTAGTGAATCCGCTCTTGCTTTGGAGGGAGCTCAGGGCCCAGGTGGGTGGTTGCTGGGGCTCTTGTGGCTTCCGTGAGAGCGTTGATCCCTAGCGCAGCATCTTTAGAAAGCCTGCCCCATCGCCTCTGCCATCGCCCCTCCCCTCCCCACTCCACCTGCTCAGCGGTGCAGTTCTTTCAACCACCAGCCACCTCATGATTTCGGCTGACAGACCACAGTTAGGAGGCCACATGCAGGGCCCGTGGTTAGAGTTTTAAGCCGTCACTCTGCGCACTTCAGGATAAGGTTCAGCCCCACTCGCCTTCCCTTGGCCTCTAAACTTGCTGCTCATCCTGGCCCAAGAACTCTCCATTTTAATTAAGACAGGCTATTATCTGGCCAGCAGACACGTTCACCTCTGTCCCACCTCCAAGCTTTTGCTCTTGCAGTAAAGCTGGACAGGATGCCCTCCTCCTTCCATACAGGGGGTCCTCATGTCCTTTAATTGGACACCCTCCTGTACAGGCTTTCTCTGTGCCTTCAGTCTCTGACATCTCTGTGCTCCTTTCAGAACCTGCAGTCTGGGAGAGTTCCTTCCCCTCCCCTCCAAATAGTTTACACAGAAGCTCTGCCTCTGGCCACTTCACCAGGGGACTCAAATTTGTTAGTCTTAAAACTGCAGCGATGGTGAAACAGGAGGCAGGACTCAATGCCAGAGGTGGGGCTTGGACAAACTGAGGACTAGCTAAAACAGGGATGTGTCCGCCAGTATGCTGTGTCAGTGTACCATGGCACGACCCCCAAGTTAACACCCCCCTTCCACGGCAATGACGCAGCGACTTAGAAGTTACTACTTTTCCTAGAAATCTCTGCATAAACTGCCCCTTAATCTGCATATAACTGAAAGAGGGAATAAACATGACTGCAGAATTGCCCAGAGCTGCTGCTCTCAGCACACTGCCTGTGAGGTAGCCCTGCGCTACAGGAGCAGGGCCTCTGCTGCGGCTGGACACCACTGCCTCAGTAAAACTTGCTGCCTCACACCACCACTGACTCTTGAATTCTTTCCTGAACAAAGGTGAAAACCCTTCGCAGCCCGGCGCGGTGGCTCACATCTCTGATCCCAGCACTTTGGGAGACCAAGGTGGGGGGATCACCTGAGGTCAGGAGTTTAAGACCAGCCTCACCAACATAGAGAAAGACAGCCTCTACTAAAAATACAAAATTAGCCAGGTGTGGCAGTGCATGCCTATAATCCCAACTACTTTCGAGGCTGAGGCAGGAAAATCACTTGAACCCAGGAGGCAGATGTTGCAGTGAGCCAAGATGGCACGATTGCACTCCAGCCTGGGCAACAAGAGCAAAACTCTGTCTCAAAAAAAAAAAAAAAGCCAAATTTTATACTTTAAGAGGATGAGTTTTTATGGGTATGTGAATTATATCTCAATAAAGTTATTTATTTGTTTGTTTGTTTTTGAGATAGTCTCACTCTGTTGCCCAGGTTGGAGTGTAGTGGCACAGTCTCAGCTGCAACCTCCACCTCCTGGGTTCAAGTCATCCTCCTGCCTCAGCTCCCTGAGCAGCTGGAATTGCAGGAACCTGCCACTATACCCGGCTACTTTTTGTATTTTTACTAGAGATGGGCTTTCACCATGTTGGCCAGGCTGGTCTCAAACTCCTGACCTCAAGTGATCTGCCTGCCCTGGCATCCCAAAGTACTGGGATTACAGGCATGAACCACCACGTGGGGCCAAAGCTGTTGTTTTTTAAAAACTGTGTTGAGACGGCAGCCTCACTTTTGTGTCCTAATACCCTCCTCCTTGGTTCATCATCCATCCAGCATTGGGCTATGAAATCTCAAATAGTGCAAGATTTTTCAAAGTACAGTCTACATATGGGCAGTATAAAAGCAAATGCAGCAGAGTCCAACTCAGCAGGGCAAAATTTAGACAGATTTTCACTGCTTTTAGCTAAAAGCCATTGAAATGTTTATGGAGGAAAAGAATGGGTATAGTGTGATCTTTAGAATAAATTATATTTTGTAAAAAATCAGAGCAATGCAAGAAAAAGATAATGGGAAAAAGAGAAAAAAAACAGAGCAAGGCTGTTCTTCTGCATAAACGTCTGGAGAGTTTCCAGGTACAGCAGGTAGAATGAAAAATAGTGTGTGGGAGGCAATCTTGGATAAAAATTGTAGACCAATTCCTGATTCAACAAAAAGGAAACAAATTGTTTATGCCAAAAATGAACAAAATGGATATAATCATGAGGAAGCATCAGACAAACCCCACATCAACATTTTACAAAATCGCTGGCCTACACTCTTCAAAACGGTCAGTGTGAAAAAAAGGGCAATATCATAAAAGATAAGGAAGGCCAAGAAGCTATTTCTGATTAAGGGGGACTAAAGAGCCATGAAAGCTCATTGCAGTGCTCTGTTCTAGATTCGATCCTGGCCCAAAAGGAAAAGGTTCTATAAAGAATATTCTTGGGAAAATTGGTGAATTTGAAGGAGGTCTGTAGATTCAATAATAGTATTATATTAATGTTAAATATCTTGCTTTTGAAAATTGAATTATTTTCTGAGTGAATATCATTGATCTTAAGAAATATACACTGAAGTATTCAGTTGGTGCAAAAGTAATTGCAGTTTTGCCATTACTTTCAATGGCAAAAACTGCAACTAGTTTTGCACCAACCTAATATTTAAGGAATTATGTTTGAAATTTAAAATGGTTCAGCGTGTACACATACATAGGAACTGTATGGCTGTGATACTGAATTATAAAGCAAATGCAGCAAAGTGTTAATATTAGTGTCTGGGTAAAACACGTATAGGAGTCTCACAACATTACAACAAGTTTACTGCCATTAGCTACCATTATCCATGGCTAATGGCATTTGGAACACCACATAACAAAACAACTGACTCTATTTTATCACCCGCCATTGAGGCCAATCAGGTTACTACCCACCACACACACAACTTCCAACTGATGTTTTAGTGCCTCACTTTTAAATATTGAAGGATCCCCAGACACCTGGGCAAAGCCTGTGACATGAAGGGCAAAGCCCAAAATAGAGAAAAACTGCTCACAGGCAACAGAGACTAGGCAAAAAGCAGAAAAATCTTCAAAGAAATCATAATACCCTTGAAGATATGAGAAGAATTGTATCTATGAAACGGGGACAATAGATAATCTGGAAAAAAAGAAACATTCAGTGAATTAGACAATACTTTTTGAAATAAAAATTCTAATAGAAAGTTCAGAAGATAGAATTGAGAATTCTCCCAGAAAAACAGAACATGTATTAAAGAGATGGACAGTGCGGGGAATGGGAAGGGAAAGAAAATAGATGACCAATCCAGGAAGTACCCAGGCTAATGTGAGTTCTATGAGAGAGAAAGAGGATACCAAACAAAGGAAATTATTAAAGAAATAATCCAATCATATTTCCCAAACCAAAGGACACATGTCTCCAGATTGAAAAGGCACACTCAAAAGTTAGAAAACCCATACCAATGCAAGATACTGTGAAATTTTAGAATGTTAAAAAAAAATGGAAGATCCTAACAGCTTCGAGAGAGAGGGAAAGATTTTCAAAATGGTTAACACAAAGATCATCAGACTTCTCAACAGCAACACTGGCTGTCATAAGTAGTGCAGCAAGGCCTTGAAAAGTCTATGGGCAAAGTGTTTCTAACTATTCTATAATAAAGTGTGGGGGCAAATAAAAGGCATTTCCAAACATTCAAGGACTAAAATCATTTTTACTTCTCACGCACCCTGTCTTGGGAACTTACTAGAGGATATACTCCAGCAAAACAAGAAAGTTAAAATATAAAAGGGGAAGACATGGTTTTTGGGAAACAGAGGATCTAACACAGATTATCAGCAAAGGGGAGTCTCAGCTAGACAGCTGTACTGAAAGAGTAGACAGCAGCTTGTCCCAATTAGAAGAAGAAGACAAGGAGGGGGAAGGAGTGAAAGACAAAGGGTGCCAGGAAGCAGATCTCAAGTGAGAGGATGGGGAAGAAAGAATTAATGCATTAGCTGATAACGTTTTTGGAAAATAATATAAATGGACATTTGTCACATCTGATGGTATATTGAGGGGAGAATTAACACAATACATAGAAAAATAAGCAAAGGAAAAAACTACAAGAAAAAATGAAAAATTAGAAAATGTAATCATGGCACATTGCTTGGCTCTGTAATGGACAATATTTATATAATCATAATTATGTAGGCATTATTGATTTAGGCCTGGTGCAGTGGCTCACACCTGTAATCCCAGCACTTTGGGAGGCCAAGGCAGGTGGATCACTTGAGGCCAGGAGATTGAGACCAGCCTGGCCAAAATGGTGAAACCCTGTCTCTACTAAAAATACAAAAATTAGCCAGGCTTGGTGGTGCATGCCTGTAATCTCTGCTATTCGGGAGGCTGGGGTACAAGAATTGCTTCAACCTGGGAGGTGTAGGCTG